GATGTGCAGCTTCCACTTTTCAACTTAATGCAAACATCATGAAATCTAACAAAAGTTTCATCTTTGTAAAACAGTTGGACACAAATGTATTGCAACAATGTTATTCAATATTATTGAATTTTTAACTTCATAAGTTCAATGTTGCACAATTATTGTTAATTTAGTTAAGGGAGTCACAATTATAATTTTGTTCTCACTATCTGTGCAGAAAACACAGTTTCAGTTTGACTCAAGCTTTGAAACTGTTGACACCAGTGAGCTACAGTGCCGTGGCAGTATTTTAAGACATGCTTTAAATAATACAGCAAACTTGAAGGTGGTTTATAGAGAAGTAGATTTTCAAACTTTTTTTTATGATTTTAATCAATCAAAATGGCTTTCCAAGTTTCATGTCATGATAGTATTTCCCCCTTTTGTGCAAACATGCATCCATGGAAGTGATGTCAGGATCATTGAAGTGAATTTTTAAATTTTCACTATGTCCACAACTGACTCAAAGTCAATAATTATCCAAACCAATCTGATTCATTATCATGACATTTTGTGACACATCTCATTTTTATAATTATTTTACTCCTTCACTCTCTTGACTGCTGTTTCAAAGACGAAGACATCCAATATGAATATTTCTAAATTATTTATCCATTTTCTTGCATTGGTGAAACACATCTATTCACTATTGTTTTTGTATAACATTTGGGAAACAGAAAGACAGGGTGAAGGCCGTGTGTCTTCCATGCACTGGGTAGTGCTGGGTGAACAGACTTACTGAGAATATCAGTAAATTCAAACTATGATTCATCTCCCTTGCTACGTAAACATGATTGGACTGAAATAATTGAAATTGTTTGTAAAGTAAACAATCTTTGAAATGTGCAAAACCAAAGAATTTTGCTCTGTTTGTCTGTTCCAAAGAATAGGGCTGCAACGACTACACTATGAGGCGAATACAATTCGTATCACGAATATTGGGAAACGAATACGAATATTAATTCACGAATACAATAACAAGTCCGCAGTTGATTGATAAATATTCGGTTCTTGTGGCCACGAATAACGAATTCAATTCATGAATGGATACAGTTTGATTCACCGAATGCGCGAGTGAATTGTAACAGCTCTACCACAAAGAAACTTGTTTGTCACTTACAAATAGATCCCGTTCTGTAGCCACCTTTAAATATTCATTTGTCTTCATTTTTAGCAAAAGTTATTTTGTTTCTTTTTCATTAATAATATTTTAAACTAAAAACAGATCAATTTTTTGGTAATTGTGATTTCCACAATTGTGTTCCTAGCCTGATTTGTTAGTATGACATTATGCTATATTTAGCATAGTGTGATTTCTCTCAATCCTGCAATTGATTGATGTCTAGCCCAATTTTCTCAATACAAGTCTATTTCATCTAAATATGATAGGAACCGCCACCGGTTTCAATTTGGAAATCCCATCTGTGCGTCTGTAGGGACAATATACAGATAGAGATTCCACAATTATTAGGGGGCACGGGTGGCCAAGTAGTCAAAGGCCCCGCGGTTCGCTGTGCAGAGATGCGCCCCTTTGGCAGCCAGAAACCTATGATTGTGGGTTTGAATCCTTGTTCACCCCGATTATGTTTCTAGGTTTGTCAGCACCATACCCATGCTTGTTGGTTACACCGAAGTGGTAAACGTCTGAGACCTGCATCGCTTCGGGCTTTCTTCCCACATTAAGCTGACACGCCATGATATAACTGGAATACTGTTAAAAGTGGCATTAAACCCAACTCACTCACAATTATTATGTTAATATTCCACTTGTAGAAATGACAAGGCAATCACATGAAAGTGACACATTGAAAACCCTTTCCACAATCAAAGAAATATTGATATGTAAATAAAAGCGGAAAAAATGTGTCAATTATCATAAGAAATCTCTGCTAAAAGCAGAGTCCATGGTACAATTTCGACTTTATCATTAGCGTCCATTTATGAATCACTTTCAAATAGTGATGATACCAGGAAAGGTCAGCATATCCAGTCCCACCAGTGACACCAATCACAAACACATGCAAAGACAAGTCAAGTATTCAACAAGGGGACATCAAAAAATGATGGTGCAAGTCAAAATAGAGAATTGCATTAGACATTATTTTGGTCACTGATGCAGCAAATTTGAAAATACCCCCCACATACATGTCTGCTTAAAAATCCTTTCATTCCTGACCCTAACTTCTGTGCCCATACTTCTGTATGGTATTACCATAATTTCTTGTGTACAATACATATCAATCAGCAATTATGAATATGAAACATTACAATACCATGCAGCTTAAAACATAATAACTTGCAACAGTCATCTAACAACAACTGTGAGCGAAAGTATGATATATGTGATATATTTATTTGTTCTCATTCAATCCAGATTCATTTAAGGAGTCTATAGTGAAAATGTGAATATTTTTGCTGTAAATATAAGCGATCAGATCACTCACAATTTTAAATTAAATTACAGTTAAATTATTTAAATGTATTTAAGACTTAAAGCAGATATATTCTGAACACTTTTTATTGGAAAATAGTAAAAAATGATGGGACTAATTTGGCTTTATTTCACTACAAGATGCGATCTTAGCGCTAAGATGATTGTAACTCCCATACCTTAACATAGACAGTCAATTAGGACAGTCATGGCGCTAAGGTTGTTTTGTACAACAGCACCCAGGTTTGTTGACTAGTTTCATGCTAGTGATAATGTTTTCACTTTGGATGATTCATTGTCTGCAAATGTAGCGGCCATAAAATTTCCGAGTCCCATGATGGGATTCGAACCACGGACCTTCTGATCAGAGGTCGGATGCCTTGTCCATATGACCAAAGAGGTTAACCCCGTCAGCAAGCTGACAAGGTAAGGATGTCATCTGTGGGATGACTCCACGCCCTGCTACATACTCCCACGTCAATAGAAGGCACGTCCCGGGCTGCATAGTAGGGTACTGAGGCTTATTTTGCTCAAATTTAATATGAACATGCTCAGCCCCACGTTGGGCGCCAATGTAGCGGCCATAAAATTTCCGAGTCCCGTGATGGGATTCGAACCATGGACCTTCTGATCCGAGGTCGGACACGTGACCACATGACCCAAGAGGTTAACCCCATCAGCAAGCTGACAAGGTAAGGATGTCATCTGTGGGATGACTCCACGCCCTGCTACACAAACATAATGCACAGCTTTTGTGTTAAAGTGTAAATAACACACTAGAAAATATGGTAAAACGAGAATGCTTTTGCACCGAATGACCTAAGACTAAGAGTAGCTGTGAAATGAAGGGCTCCTCGCATGGTTACTTTTGCTGAAGGGAAGGTCTGGTCTGACACATTCCGTGATTCAAGCAGCAGGGGAAAGCTGGAATGACAATTCTTCTAATATTTATCATCAGGGACCATCGCAGAGTAATGGGGAAATGTTAATAGGTTTGTCTGTAAGTGTGATTGTTGTGTCATCTTCCCAAGCTCACTCAGACGTATCGATCCCTGCTGCCCTCATCCGAGAACCTTGTCAGCTGGTCTGATAAAATGCTTCACCAGTACTGCTTGGCGTTTTGACATTTTGATATGTTCCAGATACTTTGTGATGGTGCACTGTTGCATATATAGTTAGATATATATAGAATACTAAACAACCACTTGAGTGAGTACGTAGTTGTGGTGTCAGATAAGCAAAAGCAAAAGCAAGTCAGATACCAGAACTGGTCACAAGTTTCATAAAATTGTATTACATGTGAGAGAGCTTAGTATTTTATTACTAATATTTCTCAAGTTGCATTTGAGATGATGCAAGTATACATATATGGATGTGATTAAAGTAGATAAAAATACTTCAATTTTTTTTGTAAGCAATCATCCTCCATCACTGACACTAAAACAGATAATAATTAGGAGAAAACATACTGTGTTTTTAATGTAAACAATTTTAGCTGTAAATGTGACATCACTAAGTATATTTTTAACGAAATGTGCGGCCAAACTTCAAGCTCCTTGATGTCCCTAAAATTTGAAATATACTGTTATTAATATTATGTGCCCAAAATGAATTGCCATCGACATTTTGAATATTGGATGAACTGTAACTTTGCATTTTGTTACCTACAATGATTTCCTTATTTCAAAATGCCTGACAATGATTCTGAACGAAGTCCTTTTCTATAAATATTCAAACAGAAGTTGTTATTGTGATTTAAAACCTCTTAAATGACCAATCAGTATCAAATATTTCCCAGAGTTAAACATTTAAATAATGAGATGATAATATTGCAGTGTCGAGACGCTGAGTATGTAAATGTGTAACTCCAATCATCCCATCTGACAAGGAACATGACAGCAGCTTTCGGCACAGGACACGAAATAAGCCGGCTCTTGGTTTGAATTTGATTCTGCATCTAGGAACAAATTCATGCATGGTTTTCAAGAGCTTTATCGTTGCTTTTCTGTGTCAAGATATAATATTCATAGTTTTGGGCCAGGGACTTTAAAACTGCGCCCCACTGAGTTGCAAAACGAATATATTTCGTAACTATATTCTTTACTTATAAGCTGCAAAATTTCTGCACTTGTACACAGATGTAATTCAAAATTAACATACGTTTTTTATTAGTTTTGACAAAGTCAGTAGTGGTACTATTGTGTCACTGGATTTTCTGGTTCATCGATCACATGATTGTCTGGTCTGTTTACAGGCTGACGTCTCATGGCAGGAGTACAGCTGTGGTGCATCAGGCAATAAATACTTACGTTGTTATGCAAATTGTATGAATGGCGGCTGCTACCAGTAGGGCAGGTCATGCTTTCTCTTTTTGCGAACACCTGGTGTCAACACTGAGATTCAGTGACCCATTCACATTGTTTCCACAGCGTTGCCGTTAACGCCAAATGGAATCTTGTTTGGCAAAAATATCTAGGCTGGTTATTCTCTTGCATTGACAGTTTATATTTATATTTATTGTAAACTTCTTGTGTTACAGATGCCGGTTCGACTACATCGATGTGTTTAACGTTGATGAGATGGGATATATGTCTCTTGTAGACCGATACTGTGGTTCCAAAAACCCAGAACCAATCACGTCAGCTCAGTCCACCATTGAGATTATATTTGTATCGGACTATACAAAAACAGCAAAAGGATTTATGGGACATTATAAATTTCTGGATGATAGTAAGTATGATGTATTTATAACTAGATTTGTGAAGAATATTTTTAGGGTGATGGATAGGGTTTGGGTCTGATAAATTTGTAATCTTACCGTTGTTCTATGTATGACAGGATTGATACAGAAATGATGTCTGTTCTTGACTTCAATATGATGCTGGGTGCTGACAAGTTTGAATTAGTTCCTGCCTGCTGAGATTAGTGAGGGAAAGAAATCTGGTTATTTTGAAAATAAGTAAGCTGCTGAAGAGAAATATTTCCTAATTATTGACTTAATGTTCTTTTTAAAAATTATGAAAGACAGCATTTTATTTTGAAAAACTTTATAGTAGACATGTGGAGGACATTTCCAAATTTGACGCATCAGTGACAAAAATGATGTCTGATGCAATTCCCTTGTTTTTTCTGGTGGACAATTAAAATCCTACTGTGAGTTAGTAAGTATGGTTTTATGCCCCTTTTAGCAATATTCCAGCAATATATCATGGCAGGGGACACCATAAATGGGCTTCACACATTGTACCCATGTGGGGAATCAAACCCAGGTCTTCAATGTGACGAGCAAACGGTTTATGCAATAGGCCACTCCAACGCCCCTCCTACCAAGAAAATAAGAAAATGATGACATGATGACAGGATGATGCATGCATAGGCGGATCCAGAGAGGTTCCAGGGGGTCCTGACCCCACCCCCCACCCCCTTTTGAAAACCTAATGTAGTTAGTATGTTGTAGGCAGTAAAATTAACGGAGGGAGGATTTTGATATTTTGGACCCCTCCCTTTCAATAATGCTGGATGACATGGGCATACTTTTTTCTGTGTATAGGTCACAGAGATATGCTTTTATGTTCATTTTGATTAAGCTTTTTTATAATGCATATTGATCATCAAAACTGACCAAAGGTTTGTAGGTTATAACAACTAGAGGAATTTCAAAGGCCTTTCTTGTGATGAAGATATATATGTTAGATTGAACAGCTAGATGACAAAGAACATGAATACATTGATGACAAAATACAGCAATTTCAGGTAGAAAATGTTTTCAACCCTACTCAGGCACCCAGTCTTAGACCCCAGACATATGACTTAGGAGACGCGTGTGATATTGGGGTTAGAGGATTCAACCACAGGAGCAGAAGCTGCAATCATAAAATGAAATAAGAATGGTCAAAAATCTGTTGTAATTTGCCCAACGACATCCTCTTAGATGGATTAGAAATAGATACAAAATTAAATCAACTACAGTCACACACCGATGTGTCAAAGTTGAAGGACATACATAAATACTTTGAGTTACCCAAAGTTCGAAACAACCAAAAATGAAGAATAAAGAAGGAATATGCAGGGACCAAAATTTTTCTTTGAGACAATGTAAGTTTGACACATCAGTTCAACACAACGGTGTTCGACTGGAGTTACTTCTGAATTACTAATTTATCAGATGCCTGGTATGTAGTCTCGAACCCCTGTAAAAAAACATCTTCCCAGAAAACATACTTACACATGTTGCTGTGAAAATATAGCAGTTGCTGTCAAACAGTAAACATTTATCTATTCCCACTAAACCACCCAAGCCATGCCAGGTAAAACATAAAAAGTATTCAGCTACCAAAAAATATGTATATATTCGTTCATTCGTTCGTTCGTTCGTTCGTTCGTTCGTTCGTTCGTTCGTTCGTCGTTCGTTCGTCTGTACGTCCGTTCGTTTGGCCGGCCAGCCGTTCATTCATCCATCAATTCGTTCATCCGTCAGTCAGTCCTTCTGTTCGTTCATCCATTCGTTCGTTCATTCCTTCAACTTACCCTTGTTAACTGATTAACAACACTCTGTAAACCATACACTATAAAGGTATGGCCTCAGCCTTTGTAGTGGTAGTTTATAGAGTTAAGACAGGGTGTCTTGTTGGATGTCTGGCTGGGTGTCTTGTTCAGTATTGACTGATGGCATGTGTAATTAGTACTGAAGAACTGGTTATTGAACAACAGTGGAGATTGTATTACACAAGCAATAGCATGTAATTACTCGTCTATATCTCTCCACATCACTTCCATGACTTTTCAAATGAGATAGTTACAGTTAGTATTGTTTGAAGCCTGACACCCAGCCTTAAGCTGTTGTTGGAAGTTTAAAGTTTAAGAACACGCAGACTTGACGCTTTTTAAAATTTACTTAATGTAATATACCAACCAGGCAACAATACTGAGAAGTTAGTTGAAAAAAGTGAGTTGGGTTTAACGCTGCTTTTATCCGTATTCCAGTTATATCGCGGCGTGTCAGTTTAATGTGGGAGGATGCAGGTCTCAGACGTTTACCACTTCGGTGAAACCCACGAGCACGGGTATGGTGCTGACAAACCTAGAAACATAATCGGGGCAAATCGGGATTCGAACCCACAATCATAGGTTTCTGGCGTGCCCAAGGGACGCAACTCTGCACAGTGAATCACAGCGCCTCGGACAACTGGGCCACCTGTGCCCCTTAGTTGGAAAGAGGGAAGGAAGGGGAAATATAGTTTGACTGTTAGATATTACAGTTTTCACATTATCATTGTCTACATTGTCCATATATATACTAGGGGTGTCACAATAAATCGAAATATCAATCTATTGCTATTGGTAAGCACTTAAAGTCAATAAATCTGAGTCAATGATGATATGGTGAACTTGGTGTGTCAATCTGACACACATGGGCACACCACTCTCGTCCTGGAACATGCATGTAAACTTGTGATTAGGCACCTTCAATCAGTGGAGGAATTTGTTTCCAAAGTTCACTGGCCAGGAGGACTTGTGAACGAAAAATGTTGCAAGCCCTCATAATATTTTACTAGCCCTATTTTATGGCTATAACTTACATATTTTGTGTATTTTGTGTGTTTGTGGTTGTTCTTAAACTATCACACACATTGTAAACCCTGCAATTAAAATAACATGATATCAGAATATATAATGTGTAGTAATTTAAAACAGCAGTTTAAGATACTATTTTTTCTGATCATTGCATCAAAATTTGTTTCCGTCATTTGGTATGTTAGGTATGTGCCACTGGTAGATTGGGAGAAACGTGTAGATGTGTGATTGCTATTTCCGGCTTAGTTTACAGGACAATACACACGATCATCTTTATCCCTGCATATAAAATAATGCATAGCATAACAAGAAATTGAAATGGTAAAGCTATCATGTCTGGTGATGTTTAATTGCAAATTTCACATTTTCATTGACAAAGTTTGTATAGCGTTGTTCATTCACCTACGATACGATATAATTGTTTTATCAACAGAAAAAGAATTTGATGTAAGGTGACCTTTACGTAAGCTAACCCTTTCTACAGAATCTATTTTCTGGTCTTCAAATTCAGCTTATCTACGGTCATGTATGGTACAGATCACAATTGTGTAACTTCTTTTGCAACATGGGCCACAACCTTGCAGCCGTTTACCCTACACACAGCTTCTATATCAGGCAATGGCAGTGTTCACTCAGAGGTCAGGCACAGAGCAGGGATCATTGGACTTCCATGAGTTTTACATGGGCTCGTGTCATTAGCTGACTGAATCAAGACGTGCATCGTTACTGCACTGTATAATGGTTTTATGTTTTAATGGATGGAGGAAAAACCTGTGAAGTATTAACGATGGTGATTGAGTTGCATGTCAGAAAACTCTTTGAGAACCTTCAGAGCAGATGTTGTTGGTGTGCCAACAAATTATTTAAACCACAACTTCTCAAAATCATTGTAATGATTGAAATCCCATTGCGCTAACAAGACTTAGCAATCAAAAAATTTTAGTTAAACTTTGATATAAACACGACACAAACCTTTCAATAATGAACCATGAGTCCCACCTCAACTTCAGATTGGTATCAATGATTGAAATCTGTTTGGGCCAAACAAGACTTAGAAATGAAAAAAATATTTCAATTTTCAAGTTAAAGCGTCAAAAACCTTCCCATAATGAACTATGCAATGAGTGTCCTCCCTCCACTTCAGATTGGTACCCCTTTGGTCCGAACACAGTGAGTCTGACCGGCTATGGGGGTATTATCGCCTCCCCCCAGTTCCCGGGCCCCTACCCCGGAGTCACGGAAAACACCTGGCAGATCAAGGTCAAGGAAGGGCAGCTGGTGCTGGTCCATCTGATGGCCATGGACATGGGACCCACATGTAAGTAGAACAATGTGCACACTTGTCTCCCTTACTTCTACCACGATCTGCCAATCTCATTTAGCTTATAATAATACGTCTCTGCACGAAGATCAGACAAATCGCGATGTTGCATCAGATGAACTTTCTTATCAGTTAATCAGCGTCCAGGATTCTCAGTTTGTGGTATCAACATGTGAAGTGTTCAGAGCAGCATATCTGCTTGCTGTATCTTGAAAACAAACAATAATGGGCAGTTCTGAATGCAATATAATAATGGCAATGCTATTATGTTGTGGATATTGTTATGGATTATATTTTTCTGAGCTCCAAATCAAGGTGGTACAGAAATGAAACTCATTGGTTAAGACATCTGCTTGGCTCCAGAACCTATGCACCCTTCAACTAAATGATGCTGTGCAGAGTTGCATCCTTTAGGCATGTCAGGACCTATGATTGTGGGTTTGAATCCTAGATTCTATCTGATTATATAGATTTGTCAGCACCATCTCTGTGTTTGTGGTTTTCACAAAGTTGTAAATGTCTCATACCTACATGTGTGAAGTCAATTTCTGTTGTCCTCGCCGTGATATAGCTGGAATATTGCTAAAAGTGGCGTGAAACCATACTCACTCACTCACTCACTCACTCACTCACTCACTCACTCACTCACTCACTCACCCAACCACTCAAACACCCACCCACCCGCCCACTCACTCACTCACTCACTCACTCACTCACTCACTCACTCACTCACTCACTCACTCACTCACTTCGAGCTTTCCTCACACATCAACCTGACATGCCATGACATACCTGAAATATTTTTCAAAGCAGCATTTAACGCAATACACTAACTCACACATGAATGTCAACTCACAGCTGTTGCAGCTGGTCGTGCAATGGGAAATCACCGATCCCTATATATATTAACAGTATGTCGATAATCACTTATCTCCTAATTCACCAGTAATTGAGCCATATCACAGATGTTGGTAATAGCCAGTGGTTTTACGGATATGGAACCACCCACAGCACCTGCCGAAGCAGGTCACATGATGTAACCACCTGGTCGATTTGTAGCTAACTTTCATGACAAGTACGAGGTGCTGGGGACCTCTCACCAGACACAGATTCCCTATGGTGTACTGCCACCAGCAAAGTCCTGATTGTGTTCAAAAGCCAGAATAAATATTTCAAAAATAATCTATTCACACCAATTGTAACCTCATGCATTATGATTGGAATATCAGACTAATACTGGTCCTACGAGTCCAGGATGTCAATATGTAATTTGAAATTCAGGTAGGGTTACAAATTTGTCATCAGTCATGTGAAATAAGTTGTCAATATGTTGCTGGACAGACAGGGTAGAGACATGGATAATCACTGGCTGCTTAATTTTCTTCACAAGCATGAGGAACGAGGGACTTGCTCTGTTCTTTAATTCCCCTTAAGTATATATCAAGATTATAAGCTGAGTGTGACCTTGGGTAATAAATATAAAACAAATATTATCCACATCTTTAGGGAGCAAACATATATTTGTTGTTCCTATCTTGACAAGACAGATTCTCTCAACAGATCTCTTGACTGACTACAGTTTTTCTCTCTTTTTCGGCCAGGACTCACAGAACTTAATGTCAGTGAGAAATAAAAATTATTGGCCAAATATTGTAGCAGTCATTTCATTTTTAAGTCCTTTGCTGAGATTTGAACCACAGACCTTCTGATCCAAGGTCATACACCTTGTCCACTGGACCAATATGGTTAATCCCTCAAAAGCTGAGAAGGTAAGGTTGGTTGGTTGGTTGTTGTTTAATGCCGCACTCAGAAATATTCCAGCTATTTGACAGTGGTCTGTAAATAATCGAGTCTGGACCAGACAATCCAGTGATTGACAACATGTGCATCGATCCACGCAATTGGGACCGATGACATGCATCAACGAAGTCAGCGAGCCTGACCACCCGATCCCGTTTTTCGCCTTTTACGACAAGCATAGTCGCTTTTTATGGTAAACATGGGTTGCTGAAGACCTATTCTATCCCGGATCTTCATGGGTCGGAGAAGGTAAGAATGTCATCTGGAATGACTCCTCGACTTGCTGCTTATGTCGAAAGTCAATGCGAAAGTACGAGAGAGTACAACAGTCATTGTGCTATGAGTCCATCTTTCCACTACTCCTTGTTAATACTGACTGCACAACAGCCTCAGCATATATTTCATGAAGTATTATCAAGCCAAACTATTTACGCAATGACAAATGTCCATAAAGATTGATGTGATAGAAAGTGATGCAGTAGGTCTCCAGCATACTACTGACTCGATCCAATTATCTCAGTGTTAGTATATCGTCTACTACAACATGGGGAGCAGGTCCTATTGATTGCCAGACACTGCTGATGTGTTTTTGTCTACAAAGTGCTCTAAAGTACACACAAGTGGCAAATTGGTCACAATGCGAACGTAACTTTGTATGAAGAACTAACTCGTGGAAGCGTCAGAAAAAACCTGTATGCATCATTCTTAAACTCTTAAAGTGCATTTTGTTCTATGAGTTTGAGGTATTTGTGTCATCTAAGGGGCAGGATTTTGCTTATGAGAGTTGTGTCCCTTAGTTGTGCCAGGAAGCTGTGAACATGGTTCCAAACCAGTTCGCCCTGATAATGTTTCTAGGTTTGTCAGCACCATGCTTATTCTCATGGTTAATGCCTAACACCTACACCACTCGTTGTTTTTCTGTAACATGACATGTATATGAACTTCTGTTCACAGCAGTGTTAAACCCAACTTCCTCACTTATGGACACAATATGGCATTGAAGCAACCCTTTATCCTTGCACACTTAAGCACAGGACAAAGAAAATATTTATTTTGTTCATTTCTATGTAGAACACAGACTGAAGTTTTGAAAGATTTGTAAATCAGGTAATTAGCAAAAAAGGCCCGAAAGCTATATTTTGTATGAGGTTAATATAAGTTTATCAGAAATAAAATACTGAAAGAATCAACAATTGAGTGCTTGAGAGTATTAGTATTAAGAGTGAGTGAGTGAGTGAGTGAGTGAGAGTTTTGTTTTACGCTGCTTTTCACAATATTCCATCAATATCACGTCAGGGGACACAAGAAATGGGTTGGTTGGTTGGTTGGTTGGTTTTACGCCGCACTCAGCAATATTCCACCTATATGACGGCAGTCTGTAAATAATCGAGTCTGGATCAGACAATCCGCTGACTGACATCATGAACATCGATACACGCAATTGGGATCGATGGCATGCATCAACCGAATCAGCAAGTCTGACCACCCGATCCCGTTAAACGCCTTTTACGACAAGCATAGTTGGCTTTTACGGCAAGCATGGGTTGCTGAAGACCTATTCTACCCCGGATCTTTACAGGTCACAAGAAATGGGCTCCACACATAGTGGTATTAGGAACAATATAAGAACACACATGTTCAGTCATTCATTATTGAAATATTGTCTTATGTTGTTACTTTAGAAATGGGAGAAGCTTGAAGAGTAAGCATTGAAAATAAGGTGATACCGTTTTTAAAAGTAGGTCAAAGAATCTACAAACTCTTACAAAAGCAAAGTGGAAAAACATTAACAGTCTTTTTCCACTGAATGCATTTTTAAATTCTAACCACAACAAATTGTGCATGTGCACACAATAAGATAAACTGTATAGTAGGCTGTACACATGGAAACATATGGGGAGTCATTTTAGTTTAATTTGTTTCCATCGTACTGACCAGAGATGTTTTGTAAAAATAAAAATAAAAATTGTCTGGTGAAGAGTAGGTGCTGGAAACAGACAAACAGGCAATGTATAGGTGTGGTGTATTTTTCCCATACTTCATCACTTTTTGGTACATGCGTAGTATTAAGTAAAGAGATGCTTCACCTGCCCTGTTGCTAAAAACTATACCCAATGAAAAGGCTTCTTCAACACACCAAGTCGAACAAGTTGTTAGTTACAAAAAATTTCATTAAAGTTTTCAAATGACAGGTGAAATTTTTTCCTTCCAAACATTTTTTACAATGCCAACATATTGATCACATCTGGAAAGAATGAAAAAGTCAAAAAAAAGATTTAAGTGAGTCAGTTACCTAAAATGAAATTTTCACCAACTGTGTGCATTGTACCTCTCCAATTGAAGAAACCAATGTGGGTCAAGGTCAGGCATGTGTTTCTTTGGAAGATTACTTAGTCAAAGCTGCCGTAAAGCCTTGACCTTGTGAGTGAGTTTTGTTTTACGCCGCTTTTAGCAATATTCCAGCAATATCACGGCGGGGGACACCAGAAATGGGCTTCACACATTGTACCCATGTCGGGATTCGAACCCGTGTCTTCGACATGGCGAGCAAACACTTTAACCATAAGGCTACCCGACCGCCCCCCTTGACCTTGTACGTCCACCATTGGTCAGAATGACTGCGCACCTGGAACCTAGGAGGCTGCAGATGACACCTAATGGAATGGCAGGCCAGCCTTCCTGAAGAGCTTGGCATGATTGCTGCCGATTCTGTACCCCCGGTTGACATTGACATAAATGTCTCATTGGCTCATCATACTGATTGGCTTGAGACCTGGTGACCTTGACAGCCATGTCACTACGTTTATGTTGTGAGCGCTCAGGAAATCAGTTCAGACTTGTGCTGTGTTAGGATGAGCATTTTTATGTTGAAATATAGCGCTTAGTGCTCTAAGAGCTGAGCCATCATCAAGATAACGCACACCCATTAAGTTCCTGTGGATATGAACAAGATCTGTTCTTCGCCCATAACAGATGGCTCCAACATCATGAAACTTCCTCCGCCAAATCTGTTGACCTTTTGTACTTTTGCTAAAGTTGTGAAAACCACTGATACTCTATAAACCATATTCTAAGACGTTTAGGGAAAATGATAGAGCGTAAAAAATGTAATGCCTTCATGCTTGTAGTTCAGTGGCTCATGAACAATTATGGACAGTCTGTGCAGATACCAGACATTAACAGGAATTTATGTTGCA